GTAGGAACTGATCTTTTTTTTTGTGGTCTTCTCTCTCTTTAAATACAAACAATCCAACAAAAATCCCTCCATTTATTTTGTCATTTTTTTTCTCTGCTAAGCATTCCCGTCAACCTGACAGGGTACAGCTACAAGTCTCTGACATTGAGGAAGGTCAGGTGGGTCTTCAACGAACCCAGAAGAATTGGTGTTCTCCATTTCCTCTCTGTCCCCCTGCTTAGATTACTTACTTTCAGGATCATAGAGCTAGAAAGGCCCTCAGATGCCATCTAATCCAATTTCCTCATTTTAAAGAGGAGGAAATTCAGGTTAGGAAATCTGACAAAGAACATATAGGATTTGAACACAGGTCTTCTTATTCCAAAGCCAGTGCAAGTCCTATATGAGATCTGTGCAAAAGAGATCGGGAGAACTGAAGGAGAATGGTGGCAGGGGCAATAGAGACAGTCCGGAGTTTCTCCTCCCAGAGTAAGGCTCCATCATCTACATTTTTGTCCTAGGAGGATGTAAGCTCCTTGAAGGTGGAGGTTGTTTTTGGTTTGGTTGGTTTGAGTATTTCTATCCCTAGCACCTAGAACAGTGCCTGGCACCTAGCAGGCACTTGACAATTTTCCCTGGTAAGGGAGGAGAAGGGCAACTGTCAGGAAGAACAATTCCCTGAGGGTTTCTAAAACTTGAAAGTTTTCTCACTTATGGACAGATTGATACCCAATGGTGCTATGGATAGCTATTTTCTCAGTTTCACAGTTCCATTAGAATGCTATCCAACCAGGTATTTTTGTTTGTTTGTTTGTTTTGGAGGATATATTTTGTTGTTGTTATTGTTGTTTTCTAAAGAAACCAAAATAAGGGAAGAACTCATGATTTTAATGTGCACATCTTTAAGCATTATAAAGATGTGTATGTGATATATATATCTATGTGTACATTGTGTTGCTTAGATGATGCTTATGTGTACTAATGGCTTTGCACTCAGGACACAAACAGTGGTCATAAAAAAACATTTACCTGAAAAAGGTTTGTGGCTTTGACTGTGATACTTGTTTACTGGCTGCTGTGGTGGTTCACCAGATAGTTATTGTTAGCATGATGGCCTTCTGTGATACAACCCACGATCTTCTCTTAATGCTGATAATGACATTTGTCTTGGTTCTGCCAATTAAGGGAATAAGAACGTGGGGATAGGGGGTGGAGCAGGAGTTTTGTAGTTTCTGTACCCTAGTGATGAAATAGAGGGGCTGGTGTGGATGGTGGATGGTGTGGACCAGCCTGTAACTCTTGGCTAGATGCCATGCTACCCTGAAGGCTAGAGTGTTCTTTTTTGGGCCACATTCCATAACTTGGTGTTCATATTCCCATGCAGATAGACACCCATTAATGCCTAGAGGAACTCTTAACTTTGGAAGAGAAAGGGGCAACTGAATCCAGGCCTAGCAATAATGGCATTTGATTCAGGCTGCTCTCTCTGCTTCCCTCTTCCTCTGGCCTTCCTCCTACCATTTTTGGCAGGAATTGATTACTTATGGACCAAGGTGACGTGGTGTATTGTAAAGAACAGAATGTGGAAGTCTGAGAGTCGGGAAGTTAATTCTTTTTTCCTTGAAAGATCGAATAGTTACACTGTAAACTCCAGTTTGTATTTGCTATCCAAGATAAATATATATTTCATGCCAAATGCAATGTAAATGAACTTTTTCATTTGCTGAACTCATTAAAAATGAGGACCTTTCCAGTCATATAATGTCATCTTAAAGTTTCCATTTTAACTGTTTTGGTTGTATCCATGTGTGATACTAATGGACTTTTTTCCTAATAAAGAAGAAAGCTTCAAAAAAAAAAAACCTAATAGTCAAGCTAATATTCAAGCTGTTTATTCTAACAGGGATATCTTTATTCTATCATTTAAATTATATAAGATACTACCTTTTAAAGTTATCAGTTTTAAAAATAAATCACCTATTATTATAACTTCATTAAAAAAAAAAACTGAACTCAGCTCCAGCGTGATGAACTTGGATAGCTCCAATCTGATGATACTGTTCATTTTTTGTCTCTTCTCTAATTATTCCATTTTCCTCTGCCTAAAGAGGTGTGTGCTTCTCTTTGGTGCTACAATCATGATTTACAATTAATGTTGTGTGAGGTATTCTACCAGCAGCATCTATCAAGTTTTATGAAAGACTTACCCAGAACCTGTGTGGTGACTTCTGAATTTTTTGTCTGACATAACTTAAATGAGCATATCATTAATAGATATCTGGAAGTTTATAGTATAGTCTAAACTTTACCTGACTGGTGTTCAACTTCTACTCACAATTCAAGAGGCCAAGAAAATCAGAGTAGATTTTAGTGAAAATGGTATCCAGTCACCTGAACATTTGTCTTATTCAACATTGTCCAAGTTCTTTCCCCTCATACTGATCTATGTTGATCTTTTTATGTTCAAAGCCTAATATTTTTCTCTTTTTCATGATTTGGTCTCATCTACTACTCTCTTAGCTATCTCTTCTTTCTTCAATTCAATGTGGAATGTGACTAATTTTTTTTGGGGGGGGGATTAAGTGCATAAAGCATGGGACTTAGGTAGGAATTTTGTTACTTATTATTTGAATGTGGGCAAGTTATCAAATCTCTAAGTGCCTGTTCCTCCTCCTCCTCCCCCTAAGAATATTTTCATTTTACATATGAGAATCAGTGAGAAAGCATCTTGGAGGAAAAGGGCTTATAGCATGGCTCTGAAGCAGGAACATGGATTCACCACCCCCCCCCCCACCCCTGAACAATTTGAATAATATTAAGTACTTTTGAGTCAAGTTCTTGGCATGTACTAATAAAAGCCTCAGATAAGGTTATCCCTTCTTTCCATGCCTTTGTGCATGGATGTCTGTGCTTAAGTAAGATCCTTAACAAGCCACCAGCCTTATCATTTTAGCTTTACCAGTATGGCCTTGTGGCTGGGAGCCAGCAATGAATATAGCACCTCTAGCTGAATACAATACATTTTTATGTGCTGATTTGTTTCCATATTTCTGTTTCCTCTTTTAAGATCAACTGAAATGGGGCAAATATTTTGAGTAGAACTAGGAGAATAGGGTAGCAAGTGGGGAAAGAATTATCCATATTTTCTCTTTTATTTTCTTGATTAGAGGTGGTAGACAGAGGTCCTTTTGGACCATGACCGCATGACTCCAAAACAGCCAATCAAGCCAAACAATAACAAATAAAACATTCCCACACTCAATTATTTGGTGTCTCTACAGACAATAAAAGGAAATCTCTTCAGCACTAAAATTTTCATTTTTCAACTGGTTGTTTTGACATTGTATAAACATAGCATCAGGCAAAACTAGTTGCAAGGACTCTTGAGAAATCCCAAGGGCGGTTTTGACAGTTCTATCCTTCTCCACCAGATCTATCATTTTCTTTTCTACCCTTCTCCATCAGATGCATGATTTTCTTTTCTACTATTTCCATTCAAATCTACTATCATCTTTTCTACCATCTTCCCATAAGATGCATTGTTTCTCTTCTCTTCCCTCTTTCTTTTCTCTTCTTCCATTCTTGCATTTCCTCTCCTTTTTTCTCTCTCCATGCCTATGACTTACAATTGCCAAAAGTGCTAATATCCACTCTAACACCCAACTGTAATGACCACAAGGGCAGAGAGGTTGCTGACTCCTGACCTAAGGGAAAAGAGAACAGAGGGAGAAGTTTTGTGACAAGCAAAAAGGAAGATTGGCTGGCTTGGATGTTTCAAGGCCCATGTAACACTGAGGTATCTAAGTGACACAGAAGCTTACACCAGCTTATGAATTTGTCAAGGGTTCTAGGCCCAACTTCAGAATTAGGATGATGAGAGCTGGAGAAGACTCAAGGGCCAATGGTAGAAGATCCTAAAGGGAAATATAGAATGAGATTTATTTCACCGAAGAAGGGAAAATATTGTCTCAATTGTATGGGGAGGTGGGTACAACAGAGCAGTATTTAGCAACAAGATATAAATGTTCTTCTTCTACACACCACAAATTAACTTCTCTAGGTGCTATGGTTGACACTTGCTTTGTACTCATTCCCCATGGAAGGGCTTCTGGAAATTTTTCATGGGCCAGGGCAAAAAGGAGGTTTGAAATCCTTTTAAAAACCTGTAACTCTGCTGGCTTTAGGAGCTGTGTCTGCTGCTAGGTTTTACTTACTACTTCATCTAGGTCTGGTTTTGCCTTGTTTTGTTTTCCTATTCTATGGACCCAAAGCCATCTTAGCCACGAGATCTGTCCAAAGGTTCCTTTGTGTCTTTCACAAGGGACTCAATCAATTTAACTAATTTGTGAATCCCACAAGATTTCCTTGCTGAAATGAATGCGAGTTTTACCAGTTAGGAAAGGAGATGACCCATTTATCAGGGCTCTAGGATCACAGATCTAGAACTGGGGGGGACTTTGGTAACTATCTAGTCTAACCCCCTTATTTTACAGATGCAACAACCAAGACCCAGAGATGTTTAGCAACTAGCTCAAGGTCACCAGCGTAGTGAGTAATAGAGCTGGGATCAGATCCTATTTTCCACATTCATTCAGAACTCTTTCTACTATATTATGCTGCCTCCTTTCACCATCCTACCTATTTTTTTCATCCCACTATGGTAGATTTTGGAAGTTTGGTTTGGTGAGTGAGAGTTTAGAGAAGGTATAACTAACCCATCACCAAATGATTTGAGATTCAGCAGACATAAATTATAGGGAGTGAAGACAATGGATATTTCCATTATGGTAACTTAAGGATTTTCTCTCATTGTTGGGTCTGTGGTAAGGCCTTGATGACTAGTGATGAAGCTTAGAGTAGAAAGGAAGAAGAACTCAGCTCATGGGCCTTGCAACCCCCCCCAGCAAACCAATCATTTGTCTTCATGTGAGTTTGCAGCTCTTGGAGCTGCTGAGTAAGAATGAATAACCATTTCTGCCCTCATTCACTACAGACCATGGGGTTTTGGGTGGGAGCCATGG